TTCAATTTTGTCATTACTGGCCTTTCACTTTGCAATGTTCTTTGAGGATCGATACATCTTGTTTAAAACGAGTCGTAAGCTTTTGTCTATTAGCTAAATGTCGAGTGTGTTCGGAAATATATGTTACCCTTTGATTGTTTAGCCCAGTGTTGTTTTGTTTTAAACTGTATATATTTATATTGATTTTAAAGGACTGATTGCATGCTTAGTTAATTTTGGTAGTATCTAAGCGAGCATAGTCCGAAACAAAAATGTTTGGAATACGTAGTAAACAGCCGTAGAGTGTAATGAACTCCAAGTACTTAAAAAAAAAGATGTCTACATGTCATATCTACTAAAGTCGAGATTAGATCTCGGATAAGTAATAACGAATGGAATAAATCGATCTGGTTACGCATTTTATAATATTATTAATAATTTAAATAAGAATAAAATAGCAATTTAAAGTGTGGGAGAGCCATGCTTCGGCACGAATGGGTCGGCTCGACCGGTGTAATACCATGGCCTCACAGAAGACCGACGTGAAACAACCACAGCGCTGTGTTTCGCCGTGTGAGTGAGGTTACCGGAGATTACCAATCCTTCCCCGCCCCCAATCCCTCCTCAATCCCTAAATCTCCAAATCCCTAATCCCTAAAAGGTCGGCAACGCACTCGTAAATCCTCCGTTGCGGGTGTCCATGGGCGGCGCTGATTGCTTACCATCAGGAAATTCGTCTGCTCGTTTGCCAACCAATTATATAAAAAAGCACCAATTTTTTAGGTATTTTTCATTTTAATTAAATATTTTGTCGTTTGAAGAAGCGTCAGTAAACCTAAATGAATAGGGATACTAGGAATTAGTTGAACACAATCATCAGCAATTATAACCGGAAAAAATATTAGTAAGCGTATATTTAACTAAGCATTAAAAATCTCTGCATGCAGCAATAATCATTACCATCAAAATTACGAATTAGCAGTCTACATCTTCAAAGATTAACTGGCCTGATACTAAGAGACGTGAGAAGCGAACATTTACATCAATTACATAATGACTACATGAAATAACAGACCGTACATTGACCCAACATTTCAATAATCTAGATCAAAGTCTAGATTATTAAGAGAAAGAACGAATAAATTACATAATGTCCACAATAATTATAATTATAATGTACACATTAAGCTTAAATGTACAATCGTAATAATTGTTATTAAATATACAGACAGACAATAAAACGGGACGTAATCGTGATCCGGATAGTGCGCAGAGTCCGGTAATTTTAATACTATTTTGTTTCATAATTTTAATTCTGCCCGCAGGCCATGCGGTTGCGTGACGTGGAAGTCGGAAGAAAGGACGTCACTTCGGGTTTAATAAAGTACAGACACGAGCATTTCAAACTGTTGGCGACTGTTTTTGTTGGTAATAAATTTTGAACCTCATTGTCAACAAAAAACTGAAGACTGATCATAGCATTGGACAGCGTGACAGTTGTGTTTTTCCGTTAACTATTAATAATGTTAAAGTTTATATATGTTTTCCATCTCATTTCATTAATATCAATTCTTAACAAATACCTATTATAACATCCAGCCTGATGATGATGAAACATTATTTTTATAATGTTTTATTAATATATTATTATACATTTTTTTTAATAGTGACGAACTAACTATGTAATTCTTACTACTAGTACTAATTCAATCAAACAATTTATCTATAAACCTATCCTATTATGATACACAAATCAATTGTATAAGCAAACATCTATATTTGTTATCTGTATAAAGATACTTTGCAAAATGCTAAACACAATCCATTAATCAAAGCTGGTTCATTTGAATATGTTTCCTTGTAATATCCTGACAATGTGGGTGTACATTAAACACCTCTGATCCTTCAAGTGTTACAAAACATCACTACAAGTACTTGGAATTTTAATTTCATCACTGAAAAACTCTTCGTATTTGAAATAATCAACAAAGAGTTATTTAACATCTTCGGATATAGGTTAAGAAAAAAATAGTAAATTAATAAAATTCTTTGTAATGTTGACCTACTTTTGTAGCCAAGTGTACATGCGCCTACGCAACTTGCATTGGAACCCTTTGAATACGTCGTAATGAACCGTAATAACCCTGTTACTGTTATAGATCATAAAATAGTCTATCAGACTTGTTACATAAGACCTAAATCAAAAGTCTATTCAGATTTTTCAATACCAATAATCAGTGCAAAGTCTCTGAAAGTAAAATGGTATTTTAAAATGTCAGTAAGTGACGTCACTTTGTAATTCCAACAATACAATAATGATATTTAGAAAATGCATTTGTTTTGTCTCTAACTTTTTATGGTTTGTCAGTAAGAGTGGCAAAATACAGAGTAGGATTTTTAGGGCATTTTTTTTTCGTTTTGTTCATATTATACGATGATGATCCTTGAATTATTATTTTGTTTTATTAGTGAGCCTATGTAGGTATTCCAATTTCAAGTAATCTAAGAATTAAAATAATTAAATAAAGATGTAAATTAAAATATTAAATGCTAATCTCAAAATGCACACGGCATCATTTATTATACATACCTATGTATTACAGTGTGTTGCACCTATTTTTGTATGAGCTATAAAAAATAATGAAAGTAATATAATTAAGATGAGTGTCATACTTTTTATAATTGATTCAATTTTATTGCAAGTTATTATTTGTATTTTTTCTATTATGAATCATTTGGTTATAGGGATAGGCGAAGACGGGTTTATCGAAGACTGCAACAAAGGTCGAATGGCTGGCTACAATCAATGGTATATCTGCCGATTATGGGCCCCGATTTTGATTTAAGACTCACACAAACATTTTTATTATCCTCTACTAGCAAAGCTTAAACATAAGTTAAACGTGATAATAATTAACAACATAGCTTTAGCATAGTTCCTTATTTTTAGCCAGTCGCTTTAAGATAAGTCGTAATTAAACCGATTCTAGAGATACATTTAACTAAACTATAACAAACAAAAATAACTGATAACCCAGGCTTCAATACACAGAATTCTATTATCTATTTAGGACTCGATGTCAATATTCTGTGTAATGTCAAATGTCAAGTCTCTTTGATAACCTAATCGTTATTTTTATTATAATGGAATCTGTTATTGTAACTCTGAACATGTGATACAAAACAACATTAACTTTTGTTACGTTTTAATTAATGACTGACGGATTTTACTGGTATGAATCAATGTTCTGTAAGACTGCACGGTCCGAGCCAAGTTAGAACGAGTGGCGCGTTGAAGTCTTCTGTACGGCTAATAGCAGCCAGACTTTAAACAACTATTTAAGCTGTTAATTTACCTTACTCTTTTATAACGTCACAAGTATTACCAAATTTTGTATACACAATAGTAATTAGGTCATAATTTATGGATCCTACAGTTATAACGCCATAATAAAGATACAATTCCGTTGCGATCACCAAACATTAAATTAGGGACATGATTTCTAATACAAAGCCTTTTTAAAACCTCTAGGAACATGAAACAGGTTATATTATATTAAAGTATGCGTAATTAAAAAAGAAGCTGTAGTAAGTGGGCTCGCATATATTACATGAATGACAATATTTAACGGATGGTAGCTCTTGAACTTACACCCACAGCCACATCTGAAGGTAACGCATCAAATTAGTTTATCTAACACTAATTATTATTTGCTATCATCAGTAACATATGTTTTATATTTGCATATACAGCATTTCGTAATGTTTGAGATCAGCAAACTCTGGCAACAGCTATAGTAATTTTCAGCTACATAATATATTAGAACATAAGAACATCCAAATATACACATTTGATACATCATCCTTCTTCTAATGCCGTTTTCAATATCGGGGCTAAATCATCAAATGACTATTCCAGCCTTAAATTTTAAAATCTTAGTGACTACAAATCCTCCGACTCATTCTCCCGCTACGGGCAGAACCGCGGCACATTGCTGCGCTTGCGCCGACTATCCCAGGTCAAAAACTCTTCGATCTTTATCTAATTGTTAAGGTGTAAATTGAGCTCTTTTAGGCTCAATTTCCACTGATTATATTCGTTAGTTATAAGGCCCTTGTAATAGAGCTATTGTTTTTGATACGGTGCTTAATTCAAAACATCTTACTTACTACAAGGCACATCGTATTAAACTATATTATATTTGAAATAAAACGTATGTTATGCATACAGATACACACACAAACAAAACACATAATTAATTAACATAATTCTGTTACTTTAAATAGTTCTTAAAATGCAGATTATAATCACAAACTTATATATGATATCGTAGGTATATTATGTACAAGTGACGCTGTATATACATATAATTATGTGCATATTTTAACTCCAGTTTATTGTTAACAATAGCAGTTAGGTGTGTATGATGAGGAGGTAATTACCGTATGTAATATTTTTTTTAATATATAATTAATTTTTAACCACGAGACAAGGCCACAGTGCAGCCATATTTGAGACCAAATAGGAAGAATTACGTACATAAAACGTAATAAATAATTAAGGTAATACTTAATTAAATATTTTTTGTCTGTCAGTATGTTTGGAGAGCACTTATCACAAATTGTGCGCAGACGCACTTCTAACTCATATGCGGTTATCCGACCTTTACATACTTTTTCTTGCGGAAACTCTCGACTATGTATGTACACGCATATCAATACGATTATCATCATCGTGAGTTTTCATCTTGAAGGAGAAATAATCTATAATTTACTGTGATAATTCGAGACTGTAAAAGAACAATAGGTGTGCGAACGCCGGCGTTCGCTTGGGTTTTGGTGAATTACGCAAAGCCTACAATTTTAAATGTCTTTTAAGGTATTAGTTTCAATGAAGAGTAGGATATTTTCCATAAAACTTATTTGGGAAACCTTATGCAGCTACAGTATTAACCAGGTATAAGGATAGATATCAAAATATATTAGGATGTAAGTTGTAGAGTCTTAGAATGTATTCTCACCTGTGCATTGACTTCAGCAAACTGCAAACAGAGCAAGGAAGCACACACCAACAAAATACGTTTACAAGCCATGATGCACACACACAGTCCCTCAAACTAACATTACTCACTTATCGAGAAACAATCGATAACGACTAATTACTAGAGGAAATTGTCAATCGAACAATTGCATCGAAAAAGTAATTCCCACTATTTAATCATCGATACAATGACGAAGACGATGGAACCACATTCACTCAGCTTCACCTTTCCTAGTAATTATCAATAAAAATATATAAACAAAATGTCAACTGCACTGGAAACAATCGATTCAAAATTTCAATTCGATTAATCGAAATGTTTGAAGCTGGTTCACTTTATCACAGAGTTATTATTATTGAATTGTTCGGTTAGTGTTCGCTATTTTTTTCGAGTTCGATTCTTTCGATTCGTGTTTGAATCTCGATTGTTTACGCGCGCGTTCTCAGCGCAGTTCCAAGAGAGACTATATTGACATTTGGCCGCGCCGGTCACGAGTAAGTGATGCCCCCCTACCCGACCTATCTCGCGTCCTTGAACGTACTACACTGTTCTCGATTTATAAATTCGACGAGGTCCCATTTAGCACTGTTGTCTGAATTGACGGATTTTGCTAATTATGCATTTGTTCTTACTTCCTGACGTAAGTCTATTGTAAAAGTTAAATACAACTCATTTACAATTTTTATTTAGGTCTCGAGTGTCATATTTTACGAACAAAGAAATAAACTATACTTATTTAAGATGTAAAAGATGCATAATTAGAATACGCATCATATCATCAACCTATAAGTGCCCACTACTGAACAAAAGCCTCTTCTTATACGGAGAAGCTTTGAGCATTTAATCACCACGCTTGCTCAAGGTGGATTGGCGATTTCAAATGTGTTCCTTACCGTATGTCAGTGTTGTCTAAATAATCATAGAAAGTATATATAACTCTATATATAAAATTTGTACTTGCCAGGTTTCAAACCCGGGCGCCTTAACGTCCGAGTCACCACAGCATTTTATACAATTAAAATACAGTATGCATATAACAAAAATCTGGTGTAATAAACTATTAAATTTATTGTAGTACATGTAAAACAAAAGAAAAACACGTTTCAAAGTCATCAAAATAATATGATGTTTAGTGAATTCATATATAGGTACAAGGCAAATCGGACATCGTCCTAGACAAAATAAAACTTAATTTTATTCTAATTAAGTTTGTTTTTATAAACTTAAATAATACAGTCGTGTGATAACGTTTTATGAAGCTCAAGTATAAATTTATTAGGAAATAATGAGTGTGATTCCCAGACAGGAAACGTTTCAGGAAATATTTCAGAAACCCTTATGCATTCCTAGTTCGGAATAGGGATAACGACATTTTTATATCCGCTCGGCCCTGTCACAGAGTAGAAAGTATGGGATATGTTTTTGTCATTAAGAGTCAATCTCTGGTTCAAAAAAACACTTTTCTGCTTCCATTATAACGTCACTTTTTATCTATTATATCAAAGGAACAATATAATACAAATTAGGCAATGAAAAACTATTAGCTTTATGTGATAGGACAGCAAACGAGCTGACCAATTACCTGACGGTAAGTAGCGCCGCGCATGGAGACCTGCAACAATGGTGGCGAGTGCATTACCGACCTTTTGGAGATTTCGGGATAGGGGGAGGAGAAGGATTGGGCCTCCGGTAACCTCAATAAAACGCAAACACAATGCTGTGGTTATTTCACGCCGGTTTTCTGTGTAGCCATGGTATGACTCTGGTCGAGCTGAACCATTCGTGCCGAAGCATGGCTCTGAAACCTGAACGCAAATGACGAATAAATAATACTCTTTGACAGTCATGTCTATTAGCAAAAAGTGATTCTTACCTTAAGCTATTTGCCATTTAGCCACCATAATAAGATCAAAGTTATTAATTATAATAATTGCATGACTTAATTCCTTTGCACATATTTCTCACGGACCTTATGTTGTAAACATTCTCCAGTCATCGCTGTTATGGTGACAATTATAATGTTTCCGGATGCGACACATACACAGATGGGCAAACTTATTATTTTTTCATAGTTATTTTTAATAACTGAGGTAATACTATGACTTTGTGTTATCCATAAGAGTCTTACTTTATTATTTCCTATTATTTTTATTTTGATGCTTTGGCTGCCTCCTTGGGATTTTTTATGGTTTTGAATCGTTCAATCACATAGACATCACGTATTGTAGAAAAAAATATCTCAGCGACTATTTTTACAACGACTAAATTTAAACTTTTTTGGCTACGTACGTAGCGAGCCTTTGAGACCAACTCAAAGGCTCGCTGTTACTGTTAGTACTAATTTGAAGTTAAATAAATAATAAAATAATTTGAAATAAAATATTCGTAAAATACAAATTCTATATTTTTTCGCCTGGTTTTTCATATCTATCTTGTTACTTTTTTCCTATGTATATTATTAGAAAGTGTAACGGTATTTCTGACTGAACAGCTGAATTCAAAACTTTTATATAATTTTGTTAACAGTAAAGATCCATGTCACAACAAACAAACAAACAAATACATTTATATAATACCTACCAAGGAAGTTATATTTACGTAATCGTTATTAAAACGTAATTATATTTTAATCCTTTTCCATATCGGGGGACTGTAATCATGGAAAGGTCATATTCTCATATTATTGTAATTATCTCAATGTTTTGTAAAATTGCGTAACTATTAAGGACATCGCTGTTAAATACACGCATTTTCTACATTGCACTTTTTTCTAAATTAACTTGTATACTTAATTGGATTAGATATTACGCTAATCCTTTTCAGTTAATATGCGACTTGAACTACGCAACTTGGACCGCGTCCAATTTCCGCACGGAACAACTCTTTGTGTGATCCAGATATTATTGTTCCTGGTCTGAGTGTGATAAGTAAGATGTAAGCACACCCTAAGATACTAAAAAAGAGTAATATAAATGACCAACCTTAAATTAAAAAAGATTCTTGGATGACAAAAAGCTTTAATTATAAGTCAAGCTAATGAAAATATTGACTTGAAATTTTATGAAGTCAATGTTTAATTTTGATTACAAAACAAAAAAAAATGCCTTTCATAAATTAAACACACGTCCAACCAAATTGAATAGAACTTTATTACCTATACAAGACAACTTTTATAACAGTATTTTTATTTTGATCGTCGCTGACAGCTCACTGAAGCTAATTAAGAACAAAGCCACATCCAATCAATTATGTTAAGTAGGGTCAAGGGCTTCATTGAATGCAATAATTACAGAACCTACTCTCAGGTTAATTACCTTTTATTATAAAAACTGGTTTTGAACCCGAAATGAGGAGATTCGAAAATAAACAAAAGTCACCGACATAGCCCAGGGGATTAACAAGCTGGCAGTGGGCAGGATCCATAGCTTGGAGAGCCGATGGCTGCTGAAGCAAGAAGGTTCTCAAATGAAGGCTTAAACCGAAAAGCGAAACGCAACACTTTTAATCGTGACAATTCAAGACACAATAGTAATACAAGTGCCCGAACCCCGGCGTTTGCTTGGAGTTTGATAAATTAAACATTAATTTTGTCTATTTTTTATGTATTACAAAATTAAACTTACAAGATATATAATGCCACACAGAAATAACCTTTCACTCCTAGTATCGAAGATTATACAAATCTAGGTACGTATTGAAAAATTCGATTACTACAAAACTATTAGCTATGAACTATGTAGAGCTTGCGCCTGCGCATCGCTTGCGTAAGAGAACGTGCGCCCATCCTTGACTTACCTATCACCATAAGGCGTTTACTGAACTAAATACTGCAAAGTAATCATTGATTAATAAAACATTAGGTACATTACATCTTAGGTTCCAATAACGGGAAGGTGACAAAGAAAATATCAAATATCATAATGACTAGCTACTCCCGCGCGGTTTCATTTGATAGCAACGTGATTTTTTATATCACTCAGGAACATTGTAGCTATCAATAAGTGAACGAATTTTGTAAATCCGAACAATGGTTCCAAAGATTACCCCCTATATACAAACGTACAAACTTACAAATTTTACCTCCTTATAATATTAGTTTAGAAGTATATATTATTATATGAAACTAAGAAAACAATACACATACACATATTCAGCACCAGACACGATAAAGCAATTTTTAAAAACAATTACTTAAAAGTTTACCTATATGAGAATCTGTTGCGACGACAGCGTAATCCGGGAATATGAAAACTTTTCCAAAGCATTGGCAGTTATGAGTTTTTGTGGGGGTTTTTAGTCAGTGAGAGTCTGACGCTCCGTCTAGACCAACCTCGATCGACTATACTCCCCCCAAAAAAATCACCAAGCAACAAGGTAGTCAATGATTAATTATAACTACGATTATGATAATGATAATGCTTAGTTAATGGGTTATCTTAAACAGTCGACAAATGAGAAAAATGCTCTTAAAAACGTGTAATTATCGAAGTGCAGTTTGAAAAGGTTAACTAAGACAAATTACTTGTTATTTTATGTAGGTGAACATTTAACTCTTTAGACTAATTATTCTAAGAGTAAAATAAATTTTCAGCTTAAATGTGTCGTTTTAACTGATAGAAATGTACACACGGACGTAAGGATTAATAAATGAGCCAAGTCACCGGGAGTGATCGAAATAAAACGGCATGAAAAAACGCTTCTTTTGTGATTCGCCGTGTGCTTGGTGGTGAAGGTCCAAAGATCTAGTAAAACAGTTGTATCTCTGATGTATCGTGTGTCAATAACGGTTGCAAAATTGTTTTAAAATTATTAATTTAAATACGCACCTAATCTGTCATATTATTAATTTAAGGTAGATAGATACATATACACGATCTCAAACAAATTGAACTAAATTCTTGGAAGCAATTTAATATAATGCAGAAGAACCGAGCGTACCTACAATCTAAATCAAGATAATAGGTTGGTAAGTAGTATTTTATCGTTTATTCTGACTCTTTAGTGGAGGAATGTGTTGCACTGGATTTGAGTGATTGTTTGCCGCTTGTACATACATACTTGTAGAATTGATTTTATATTGCGTCATATTCGACGATGGTTGATGGTTCTTTAAATAGTTCATGCCTTTTCTTTTCAATGTCAATAGATAGAAAATTACTATTGTTTATTGTTTCGACTATATACTTTATTCGTTAAACTCGAAACCGTCTGAGGCCATTTCTATCGAAAATAGCAAAATATAAGTACCAGACAAACCAAAAATTGTAATTCAATAACATTTGAGACTTCATATACAATAATATGTCGCCATTTTATTTTGCTATGTTATTGAAGTCCAACCATCTAACGACCGATGGTTACGCACTTATTGACACACTGATTTTGCGGAATTGACTGCTTAGCTACCTTTTTTGCGCCTAGCTTTTTGGGGAGAAAGACTAGGGAGTGTGGGATTTTTACCTCACTAAAACCACCCCGGTGGCCACCCTCATCACCTGTCAGG